AAGTGCAAGGGCCTGAGTTCAATTCCCGGTTCAAAAAAAAGAATAACCACTACAAAGACAACAATTTGCAATGCATTAATTATTGAAACTGTCCTATTAGTCGTCTTTGAAACTGTCTCATTGCTATTTGTTTCTCAATAAAATTAATTAAAAGGAAGGAGAACTCAAAAACTGCCTCAGAAAGTGGCAAAAATAGTAGAATAAATATATTTGAAGCAGGGCCTAGAGGAGATATTTTGAGGGAGATTAATCTCAATGTGCCTTTTACCCTAATACATTTTTAAATTTCAAGTTTACTGGATTTTTGATCACCTTTGTATAGTAGAATTACTACTTATTTTTCATATCATAAGCAAGTATTTTATATGATTTTATGTTGTTATTGCATTTCTCTTAGATATTTTAAGACATTTTGGAATCTTTAAATTGTCCATCAGTCCTTAGAGGCAAGACTTTTGTAAAGGATTACACTTACTCATGGACATTCAGTGGGAATGGCCCTCCTGTCCTTCCCTCCCATGGGGAGGAAGAATGCTTGCACTTGGCAAAGTACTTATTTTCTCACATAGCAGTGATGTGTTGTTTGGTTTATTTTTATTTATTAGGTACAAGAACTTACTATGCACCTCCTGTCTCAGTCTCCCTAGCACTGGGATTACACGCGTGCCCGGTTTTGGTGCCTATCATGCCCAGTTTCAGTGGCCGGCTCAGCGTGGGGCTGGCATGGCATGCAGTACCATGGATCAAACCCAGGGCCTTGTGCTTGCCAGGCAAGTGCTTACACCATCAAGCTATCTCTCTGGCCCAGTTCGGATGTGTTTTAAATATCTTTTAGTTTTACAATCTTAAATGCCCCAGTAGATGGATATTGTCTCATAAAATGATAACACACTCAAATGAGAAAACTTAGAGTTTTCAATGATGCCAAGAAGTCCCCTTGTATATTACCCATTACAATGCTAATATCATAATGCTCCTGTTACCAATGATAAAGGAATGACAGCTAACATGCTTGCACCTATAAGACAAGGGAAAAATAATAAGTATTTACTGTGCTCTTAATTCTAGGGTGAGTGTTAAACGCTTTGCCTGTGCTATCTTATAGTAAGTCTGGGAACTGAGGGTATAGTTCAGTGGCACAGTGCCTGCCTGGCAAGCGCAAGGTTCTGAGTTAAATTCCTACTAGCAATTTTTTTTTTAAAGTCTTGACCAAGCTCCCCTTGTAGAATCCAGAATCTTCCACCATGTGGCACCTTGGTGCCCCAGCATGCAGTCAGCCCTCTCACCTCAATTCTGTGCTTTTGAACTAGCACTCTGAAAAACTGAGCCTCAGAAACCCTTTCCATTCTTCAGAATTCTGATAGAAGATCTTTTGCTTGTGCAGGTTAGAGATACAGATGTTGCTCTACTAGAAATCAAAGCTGAGGAATATTGTAACATTAAATAATATGTTTTATGAAATATAGCTGCATTCTCCAAGACAAGACCAATTTTTTTTTCACAAGAAGAATGCTGGATTATCTTTTCTGTCTACATTCAGTCTGTTTCAACTTTGTTGCTTTGGTTGAAACAGTTGAAGAAACACTCACCTCCTGCAGATAAGCAATGGGAACAGGGGATCGTTATTTCAGGAGGCTATGTAGACACGGTGATGGTATTCTTTGATTCTAATCCAAACCCTCCAAGTGGGATTTTCCTGAAGGAAAGGTGCAGGGTGGACTCTGAACCCACATCATGAGCTTCCATAACTCTGTGTACTCATGAGGGCTTTGAAAGTAGAAGCATAAATGATATCTTTTCATTATTATGAAGATAATTTGAGCCTAAGGACTCCCTCAAAAGGCTCAGGGACCCTCAGAGTTCTATAGAGCACACTTTGGGAACTGCTGGTACAACAGCCCGAGCAGTGTAAGATTGTGCTGTATTGCTGTCCTCATGACCCCAGCAGATCCTGAAGCTCATTGTCCTCCCCTCATAGCCCTCCAAGGCACAGGGAGGGTGCCAGTCATGTTTCCACCATGACTGAGAGACCTCAAAGCAGATAAATGTGAAACTGTGAGTAGATGACTCTACTTCCTTTGATAAATCAATATCAAACATGCGACAGGTAGGGCATACACATCTGATAGATGCTTTCTTGGAATAGAAGGTAAAACTAATCACACTCAAAACCTTTACAATGAGCAAGTATCAATAATATTAACATTGATGAGAGTGTCCAATGCATTCTGTTTTCCACTGTAAATTTTCTATAAGGGGAATTTAGCATATTTTCTATGATAAATAAAAGGATGACAAAACTTTCGTCTGGCCAGGAAGGTGGTAAAATTTTGTGAATTATGCAATGGCATGTTTCACCTTTCTGTAAACTGAGTGCTAACCTAAATAAGAAATGTGTTTTCTGTAGCACTTGCTCTTTCCTTCTTTTCCTAGTATGCTTTAACAGTGCTTCTACTGAACTAGCTGTGCATCACTTTATTTTTACCTAAAAATATGTAAGAGTTCCTGCTTACCCATAAACTTTCAGGCTACTAACTTTCAGTAAACTTCCTGACCATCATTATTAATAACGTTAATGTTGATGTAATGCATCATGTCTTTTGAGTGTAGTGAGGGGCTATTTATTTGTATATATCATTTTATTAAGATAAACATTTTATTTATAAATTTTGTTCCTTCTATATTTTGTTTCTGAAATAAGTTAAATGTGTTTATTTTTACTAGAAATACAATTGATTTCTCCAAATAGATTTGAGACTTGTATTGAGATCCACCCGAAAATTGCCTGCAGATTCACCTTTGCATTAGGTGGAAGGCTTTGGGGATGGTAGGACAGACATTTGTAGAAAGTTTCCAACAATAAACTAAAGTATTAGTCCCCACCCTACTTCTTCACTTACATCAGGACCATGTGCACCCAAGTCAGAGATAAATCACCTGAGCTGTTTATCAACACTACATGTGTTGTGGCCATGACATCTTTTGTTCCCCACCCATTCCCAATGTTTTCTACAGCATGTTTTAAAAGTATGCTCATCTGAAAACAGTTGCTGACACGTTAACATGTCATATAAAACATCTTCTATGTATCTTCCTGTTCAACTCCAAGTACCATAAAACAAAGGTTGAACTGCTGCTGCCTTAGAAAACAATCTGATGTGCCGAGTAACATTAACAGAAGCTCCAGAAATAATCTAAGCAAGAGAAAGACAAGAAATGTAGACATAGAACCACCATGGATTCTGCTTTAAACTTATTAGATTTTTAAGTAATTAAACCATTAAATGTGAGCTTAAGTAGTTAAAAAGAAAATAAAACTTTGCAGAGATTAAAAGTAATGGGAACACTTGCAGGGGGGGACACTTGCTGGGGGGGGGCGTTGTGCCCCCTAATGTGCAGCATCTTTTCCAAAACTAATTCTGCAACTCTCTGATTCTGACTCCTCCCTGCAACTCAATCCTGCTCTGACACTATTCCAATTACTATCAGACTCTGCACATTTAGAGCTTAGTCATGTGAGATTTGCCTCATTTCAGCTGCCAATGACAGATACTGAGTTCCCAGCTTGTCTACACTTTTGTCTGACTTGCCAACCATACCATGGTTACCATTCATTTATTATAAAGAATAAAAATAAAGAGTCAGATGCAGAAGTACCTAGGACAAGGTTTAGAAGAATGCCCAGCCCAAGGGCCCCTGTCCCCATGGACTTGAAGTGGTCCATGTTCCTCTGGGAACATACATGTTCACCAAATTGGGAGCTCTTGTGTCCCCGTTGTTCAGGTTGGTTTGATAAGGCACTATTGCATAGGCAAGATTGATGTAATCACTGACCATTGGTGACCTCCCCTACAGGACAGTGTGAGGTAGAGAAGAAAGTTCCAGCCTCCCTCCCCAGCCACAAGGTTGGACCTCTAGGCCCCAGTTCCCATCCTGAAATTACCCAGGTCCCTAGTAGGAGTCACCTCAGCTGCACAGGCTCAGCTGTCATTGGGTGGGGCACAAAGGATGCATTTCACCACTCCTATCACTCACTAACGTGCAAGTATTCGAGGAGATCTGCGCCAATAATCAAGAACCGAGAGCAAATATGGTTTTTATTATACTGCAGCTAGTGGAGATCAGGTAGTAGCGATAAGGTTTTAGAGTCTGACAAGGACAGATCATTTCCTTTCATGGAAAGGAAACATAGAACATTCTGGACTCCCTTCCATGGCTAGCCATTAAACCAGTTACCTATTGCTGCCTGCCATCTTACCCCAAAACTTAATGGCTAAAAACAACTAACATGATTTATCTCACCATTTCTGAGGAATGAAAATGTAAGCACAGCATGGCCAGGTGTCTGGGGTCCTGCGTCCCTTATGGGTTGGTGTGACGTGTCAGCCAGCAAGTGTTCCCACAAGAAGATGAGGAGGATGGGTAGGGTGCCCAGGGTCATGCTCCTGGTGTCCCTGCAATGTGGGCTACACCATAAGGCTGCTCATGACACAGCAGCTGGCTCCTCCAAGGCAGGCTTCCAATTGGGAAAGAGCAGGAATGCCAGAAGGAAGCCCCAGTCTTCATGCATCTTGGACTCGGAAGTCATAGTCCATCACTTCTGCCATATCTTGCTCACCAGACATGGGTCAGTAAATCTTGTCCCTGCTCAAGGGGACAGGATAACACAAGGTCCCTAAGGCCTGTCTTCAAGGCCAGTACCACACCTCACCCCTATACAGGTGGGCCGAATCTGGTTAGTGGTAAGCAACACTCAACAACAACGAAGAGAAAAAGCTATAAGAGATTTATCTTGTTATTTCACCACATACTTTCATGTTGCTCAAAGAGTTTTCACTTGATTAAACCAAATTCTCATTAATTTTATAGTAAATAGCTTCCTTTGGTGGGGGAGAACACTGTGTATAAGCAAAAAAATAAAATCCCAATAGAGCAGATGAGTTTGGCTTTGTCTACTTTGTGTCCTCCAACTAAAGACCTTGTTTGCCATCTTTTTAAAGGGAGAACCAGGTTTTATTGGTCCTCAAGGGGAACCAGGCTTACCAGGCTTACCAGGAACAAAAGTAAGTACAATCCTCTCTCTTGCCTGCCTTTCTGATATTTTTGTCCTCTATGTTGAAATGTGGGGTGCTGCTACTTGTTGAGGTGACCTGGTAGTTCTGCCTTGCAAAGAACTAGCCTGCCCATTAGCAACCTTCTAAAAGGAGCATGATGTGAAATAGACAAAAGGGAAGCTAATTCCAGAAAACCTCAGGCAAGACACCAGGGTGATGGGATGCATTAGCTAGTCCAGTTGTTCTCTGGTTCCTGCTGAACTGTTCCAATGCTGTTAGCCTTCTGGCCCCATGGAGAGGGAAAGGAGTTAGGAAAGACAGAGCTCATTAACTCCTGCACCTCATCACCCACTTCAGCCTGGGCTCATAAATCCAGCACTCACAATCCTGGTCACTTCTTCAACTTCAAAGGCAAGTGCAGATGTCACATAGATTCCCGAGGGCTTCACTCCAAAAGGACCCACCCTGAATGACGTCTGCAGACATATTCTGTAATGAAAACCATCTCATCTGATCTGCTACTTGGCAGCCCCAGAGAGGGCCCAAAAAGTACTACTGCACGCTGCCGTGTGAAAACAGACATCAGGCCAGAGTTCTGTTTTATCTACCCAAGAAGACATAAAATGGTGCAGCCTGGATGGTGCAACTGTCTCACAACAGGCTCATGAATCAAAGAAGAGACAAAAATTACATCAAACTGTACTCTTTTATTTTTATTCCATAGCATTCTTTGTCTCAATGTGTACTGCATTCATCAGAAACAAGCCAGGGATGATTTCCAAGAGTTGAAGAAATATGTTCAAGGTCTGTTTTGATGGGACGGTCCTGATTTCCACTGGTCAAAGGAAAATAACTATAATCTTAGTAAATGGAAACTATGCATGGCCCGAGGGAGGGCTAACAGAGTGGGATTATGCAAAATTGTTGTTTTCTTAAGACCTTGCTTTTTGCACATAAACTGTCAGGCTTATAAACAAAGGATGAAGGATGCCTGTTTTAGCCTGCACAGACTCACACAAGACATACCTTTCCAGAATAAGAAGAGAAAGAGAAAGAATAGTAAACATTCTCTGTTGCTGTGAGAACCATTGGGTTCTCTGTGGCTCCAGCTGTGTGGAAGATCGAGACATATGGCACAGTGAAAGCCATCTGAGAGGGTCGGTAGCATTTTGTCTGTGATACAAGAAAAAGCAGAAGGAACCCAGGCAGGAGAAAGAGGAGTTCATTCCTAAGCATCTTCTCTTTAGTTAACTAAACTGCTCAACAGTTTCAGGAAGAAAGATGCGGGTGCAGAACTGCACAGTCAACATGAATCTCTGCAATGAATGGGGCAGCACGATTGTGCAGAGCAAATACCGCTCTCAGTCTCCAGTGAGAGGAGGTGTTAGGGTACCTGTGTGGTGTGCCCACTGACAGGCAGGTTGATAGGAAATTCATTTTCTTAGCAGTATCTTGAGGTTCTTGTCAGCTGAATTACCTAATCCTGTTCAGTATCATAAGAGAAAGTCATGACTATTAAAAATTCTCTTTCCACCAAACACTATGGCTTTTCAGTTGCATGGATAGTCTGGAATTGTAATACTAACTTCAGACTTTAAAAAAATACACTAAGACTGAACTTTTCCCTGACAACCTAGGGAAGAGTGGACGTAATGAAGAAAGATGTCCTGCAAAATGGAAAACCTGTCGTTTGTACCGTTCTATTACAGGCGCCTACATCAGTGCCTGTTGGGGACCCGTATCTGTCCAAAGAAAGTATGTCTCAGTCAGAGCGTTTTTGAATACTTTGAGCAATACTGTTTATTTGTTCCACACACACACACAAAAATGTTTTGCTACTTCTTTTTTCTGCCTTTGAGAATGGGAAGTAAGGCAACAAAAGCAGTCTGCCTTCTGGAGTGGGTGGTAGAAGAGTTGGGGCAGGAGAAGGAGAAACAGACAAACAAGTGCAGGAACATCAGGCCATGACCAGGAAAAGGGCTGGGCCACTGTGAGAAAGAGTAGTTCTATGGGCAGACCTTTTTCTGCAGAGTCTTTTCCTATGATAAGCTACAGATATGGGATTTTTTTTTAAGATGTTCATTTTTCATTTTCCCTAAACTAAGTTTGCATTGATTTTTTGGGGGAATTATTCTGAAATTCTGAAAGTAAAATTTAAAAACATACAGAAAATACTGGACATTTTTAAGATAAAAGTCATCTATACCAAGAGAAGTTTCTCAGGCTCACTAGGGGCCAAGAAGAGAAAGAAAAGAAGTGGGAAGGAAGAGAAGGAGGAGGAAGAGGATGGGCCTCAGCTGCTGAGCCATCTTTCCACCTCCTCTGTCCTGGATCCTGCCAGCTAGGACTCTGCCCTCACACCTTTTGGGCCACTGAGAAACCTCCTGAGTCTCTCCTCACCCTGTCCTTCCATCAGTGACCATAACATGCCCTATACCTCACACATCCACTCATGGAACCACAGAGAAGGACCTTGGAACCCAGAGCTCCATGTTGCCCGTCCAGCACTCAACCCTCTTCTTTCTCCTTCCCCACCTGGGTCCAGTGAGGAGAGGAGCCCTGTCCCGCACAACTGCACCATCCGCAGTAGGGCTCCACGTCTGTCTGATTACTGAAGTTCTTCCCATCACGTGGAAGGCAAAACGTTCTCCATTCTGAGCTTAAGGAGTGAAAAATGGCACCATCTTCTTGGGAGGCTATTTAGCAAGATCTTAAAATGTTCACACCACGGGATCAGTTCCCCAACTAGAAATTTATCCTTTGAAAATGATCAGAAATGCACAAAATACTTCAATATGAAAACTTGCATGCAACTAGTTTTAAATTTCAGCTCTCTCATTTTAAAAGCTTTGTGGCTTTTGGCAAGCTCCTTAACCTCTTCGTGCTTCGGCTTCCTCATCTGTAGAACATGGATAATAACAGTTTTGTACTGAGAAGCTGCTCTATACAGTTCCTGCCATCAACCAGGATAATAAAGCCAACCTTTCCCCTCCAGGAGACTGTTTCCCACATTCAGACCAACAGAGGGGGGCTTCCTCTTCCGCCCCACTGCCTAGCCACAAGGCTCTCCATCAAATGGCAGTTGCCCATCTAGTTGGGTCACTGGCTCCTTGAGAACAGTAGCCATGTTTCCGCTTCACAGAGCAGTGCATCTACTAAAAGCTGTGTACCTGCATGTTGGACACCACCCTGAACACTGTGCATAAGTTTTGGTTTTTTGGCTTTTTTTTTTTTTTTTTTTTGTAGAATCAGGGATTGAGCTCAGGCCATTGCACTTGCCAGGCAAGTGCTGTGCATAAGTTATGAAATTAGTACATTTCTCTATTTCACGAGTAAGCTGAAGCTTACAAAACTTAAGCAATGTACCTCAAAATGCAGAACTGATAAGTTAGTAGAGCCAAGAATAGACTCTAGGGTGTCAGATTACAGAGCCTGTAGTTTAATCACTTTACCAGGCTTCTTGCTGGTGTACTTAAAAGTAGTTGCAGAGAACAGATATATATTCCTGTCTTGAGAGAGAATGACGGCCCTCCTCTGTTCCCTTTAAGGTCCTTCTGTTTACTAGAGTAGCTGTCAGACAGGTGTCACCAAACCACTTCCTCACATATAAAATGGGATGATACTGCAAACATTGTGCAATTGTGTATTAGTCAGAGTTCTCCAGACAGAAACAACCGGATGGAAGGATGGAGAGACAGAGGGATGGAGGGATAGGTGGACAGGAGGAGAGAGCAGGAAGTGTGGATAGGTGGATGGGTGGACAGTCAGACGGAAGGAAATGTTTCAGGGAAATGGGCTCTTGTGATTATGCAGGCTGAGAAGTCTGGGCTGGAAAGAGCACCAGTAGTTCTCAGTTCAAGTCCTAAGGCTCCAGAATGGGAGGAGTTGACAGTGAACACTTAGTACAAGGTCAAAACCTGAGGATGCAGGGGTCACTTGTCCAAGGCCTGGAAGCTGAAAGCTAAGGAACTTGGAGTTTTGATGTCAAAAGCAATAGAGAATCTTCTGGCCCTCAGTCTAGGATCAGGCCAAAGGGGGCGACAACCTCCCCACTGAGGATTCATCTTCCTCACTCAGTCAGCAGTCTCCTCTGGAGATACCTTCACAGACAGACCCAGAAACTATTCTTTCCAAGCTCCCCCTAATCCAGTCAGGGTGGCAACAGAAATTAACCATCACAGAGTGTTTTGATTAGTCCTGAGATTATCCCTGTCAAGGGATGAATACAGGGCTGAGCACGGGGCAATAAATGATGACTTTCTGCTTGAGTTGGTTTTATTCAACTCACGTGTTCATCTACAGGGTCTGTAGGGTTGCCACTAATCTGTTCTATACTCCATGACAGGGTGAACGTGGGGAGGCAGGGCCCCCAGGAAGAGGGGAGCGAGGGGAGCCCGGAGCCCCTGGCCCGAAGGTCAGTATTCTAACATGGAAGACTACATCCTTTGGTTTGAGCATACATGTCACTTACTTTCACTGGAACTTGAAGCTAATTCCTCAGCAACCCAAGTCACCAATAGCTTATTGACATGCACACTCCCCAGTCCAGTTCAAAAGGGATTACAGCTGAGTGTGGTAGCACACTCCAGTAATCCCAGCACTCAAGAGGCAGAGGCACGAGGCCAAGTGTAAGGCCAGCCTGAGACAGGAAGACCTTGTCTCAAAAAAGGGAAGGGGGCTTACAATTCAACTTTTAACCCTGTGCCTTATGCTCTGATTGATGAACACATTTAATAACACAACCAAATGTAAAGGGGGGGGCACTATCACATTCACACCTTATCTCTAGCTGTGTATTAAATCCCACAAAGAAAAATGTGTGAGTGCTGTGTTGGTTTCTGTGATGACCTGCTGGCACACCTTGAAAATAATAGAACTAAACAGTTAGTTGTTTGATCTTTACTCATCTGAGCTTCTTGCAAACTAATCCAATCACACTTATTTTAATAACCCCTCCTTGAAACCTGGGAATGATTTAGTCTGTGATGTGAATGCAATCTATGCAGACAAGGACCACTGAGATTAGTAAGAACCATTAGAACTCCCCCACCCGCAGGTGGGTGCGCAGTCTTTAGAATAATCAGGGCATACAGGTCAGTGGGGAGAGCAGGGGATGGGATGATAGCACTGGAAGATGTTCAGCCTACCAGCCTACCGCCATCACACACACAGCTCGAGGCTGTTAAAGTGTTTCCAGGTTAAGCCATTGTTCTGAGTCATTGCTCATTCCTTTTTCCTACTTCCTGTGACCTTTTCTCTTTGTCATCTTCCTGTTCTCCTCTAATAGGGGAAACAAGGTGAACCAGGAACTAGAGGCCCAAAGGGGTCAAAGGTCAGTAACTTGGTAACCGTTGGCTGGGACAGGGGCCTTCCACATCTGTGCTTTTTTTTTGCCTTTTCTGAAGTGAATCTTATTTTAGATTAACCTTCCACACAGGGACTGCAGTAAATTTTTCCTGTAATGATGTCACAAAACATTTAGTTTTCTTAGTACGTTTCTGTGTGATCTTATATTTTAGACTATTCAAGAGCAGTTATATTTCCTGTTTCATGAAAAGCGCTTCTTTGGGAAAGAAATAACTAATTTAAATTACATATTGTATAATCTTACTTCTCATTTTCTTGCCTATCTGTGTGATACACATTCAAATAACACTTTTTCAGTTAGTCAGCTCCCTTTATTGCATTAAAATTTGGCCAACGAAATTAGTCCCTTTATCCTATCTGCAAGAACTTACATACTGCTAGGATAATTGTGTTTTATTTTAAATGGCACTAGCTAACAACATCAAAATGGGTATAAAATGAAGAAAATAGAGATCAAAGCTAATTAATTCTCAGCAGCAAAGTTAATTATTATAGTCATTGCTATTAGCATACTGTGGTTGGAAAGTTGGAATCCTGTTTATCATTGATGATCCTTATCCATTTTATAGAAATACATAGTCTGAAAAGAAAATGCTTTGAATTCCATTTATGAAAAGGTGTGTGTACGTTAAGCTGTTTTAAAGAACAACCAACTCTACACAAGTTTAAATCTTTTCTCCAAGCTATCAGTGGAGATGTCTGAGAATTTTGACAGCTTTGGCTGTTCTGGTATCTGTAAAGATTATTCCTAGTATATAACATCATGAATAAAACTTCAGACATTTTTTCATATCGCCCCGCAAAAGAGAGCAAGCTGCCCTGCCCTGACCTTATCCCAGCCACCTGGTCCAGCAGGGCACTTTCCCCCTCAGCGCAGAGTTCCAGGGCCCTGAACCGACAGCTCCCCTTTTCCCAGCTCTCATCATTGCAGGGAGGCAGAGCCTGTGCCCCTCTCTGTTCTCCCAAGCATGAGCTTTCCCTCCTCTCCATCCCAGTTATCTAAACTCTTCTTCCTAAGGACAAACACAGTTGCCTGGCCCTTTTCCCTTTTGTCTTAAATCCCTTCACATACAAAGACATAATGTAGTATGAAGAGTGGAAGTTTACTTTGGATACCTTGGAAATGAAATCACTGGCTTTGCTTTTGCAAACCCCATCCAGTGAGAGTCACAGGTAGATAGTAATAGCCTCTTGTCTGAACAGGGATCTGTAATTCCCTGCAAGCTACATCCTAAAGAAGCCTGTGCCATGGTGGCAATAGTGTTTTTCTGCTTCAGAAGTTCATCCTAAAAGTGCTGCTATGTGTGATGACTATGTCCTTAGGCTTGAGAGATTTCTAGATCATTGGCCCTAGTACTAATTGAAATATTTTCTTTTTCGTTTTTTTTGTTTTCCCTTGGGAAAGGGTGATCGTGGAGACAAAGGGGATGCTGGAGCTCTGGGACCCAGGGTGAGTATACCTTTTGTCTAAACTCTCAGCCCCTACAAACCCAGATCTGAAGTACTGTTCATGTAACTTTTTGAGAGATACCTGGGGTAAGAATGCATTGGAACAGGGCTGCTAAAATTATTCCTCTGCTTATTCTCCTTAGTCCTTTCTTCTTTTTTAGTCTCCAGGAATAGTGTCTGTGTGGAATCTAACACATAACATAAGCTTTATTGAGAAGTGTTTAAAAAAATCATCTTAAAAAAAAAAATCATCTCTACTTTCTGCTAAGTGAGCAACCGCAAAAGAACAGCCATTCATTCACCCAGTAGAATTTCCCATTTTTCACTTAAAACAATTACATTATAAAGAGAGCAATTTCCCATATGTTTAAAGCCTTTAGAAACAAGGCTGGGAATTAGGACATGACTAATGGAAGTTATACAGCAGATATAATGAATAGAGCTCGTTTAGAATACATGTTGTCTATAGAAGTCTACATAATATATCATACATTCTCTTTTTTTTTTTGTTTCCTGTTTGCTTTCATCTTATGGGATTCTGTTCCCACTGGGAAAGCCATCCATTCCCTATGGAAACTTGCTCTATCTTCTTAAAGAAAGTGGAAGCAATCTGTAAGATCTAGATGAGGAGAGAGGCATTTGCCGTTGCTTTAAGAACACAGACGAACCCAACAGAATTTTGTAACACGCATCAAACAAGTCTATATTTTGCAATTTCCAGAAAATAGTTTCAGAGGTTAAACCTTATATGCTTTTAAAAATCATATTTTTTGTATTTAACCTACCATAGGCAGGAAGTTGTAAGTGATTTCCCTTCTTGCAAAAAGGGAGAAAATTTGAACTTGATTATCTTCTTGGAAGTGCAGCTGGGTCTTGAAAAGGAAGGGAAAGGCAGAGAGAGCTGGGCACTGCTCCTGTTTCTGCCACAGGCTCTCACGTCTTAGTCTAACTCCTGTGAGTTTCCCCTGATTTGCTTCTATTGTAGGGTCCACCAGGGCAAAAAGGCGATCCGGGAGCCACAGAGATCATAGACTACAATGGCAACCTCCACGAAGCCTTACAGGTGAGTGGCCATTCCCACCCTGATGGAGGCTGAGGGGATCCTGACACACGTGAGGTGATGGGTCAGTCTGAGCTCCCACCCTCTGATGTCACAGCAAGCAGGCCACTGTTCAAAGCCCCCGGGCTCCCTGTTCTGAGCTCATCCTCTGTCTGCCCCAGGAATCTTTATTGATATCATTTGGGGCTCTTTGTTTTTTTTGCAATAGTGGGGCTTGAACCCAGAGCTTCACACTCTGGGCAAGCACTATACAACTGAGCTAAACCCTCCACCCTTTTTGAGACAGGAATGGCCAACCGGTAGTCCTCCAGCCTCTGCCTCTCAAGTAGCTAGGACCACAGGCTTGTCCTAGGGTGCCAGTTTATAATATCTTTTTCTTCTGATGCTGCCTCCCAAAGTTCCTAGCCCTCATCAAGTATAAACTGTTAGTCTGAGCAACTTGTGCCTCCTTTGAGAAGAGGGAGCTCTGTAAAGCAACTAAATGCCCTGTATGCTTGGAATGGGAGCTTCTTGGATTCAAATTCCGGCTCTTTTGCTCACTCACTATGTTACCTAAGGCAAGTTTTCACCTCTGTGTGCCTCTGTTTTCCCCCGTGATATGAAGACAGTAGTGGTATCAGTTCTTAGGCAAAATGTCAATCACTCACTTAAAATAGAGCTTGGCACATACTCTGCCCTAAGTATTTTTACTTACCCCTACCATTTAGTTCTTTTTCCTTCCAATAAGTAAAACATAGGCCTTGTGGGTTTTCTCCACCACTATTGCTTCCTAGTCATCCTTCCCTGCGTTCTAGTCCCTCTCATCATTCCTTTGCAACTCCTCACAAAGGCCACTGACACCGCCTAGGTAAAGCCTGGTGTATATAACTTGCTTGACTTTTGGGTAACATTTACACCAAGCCACATTCCTTTTGAAATCCTTCCCTCATTTGGTCTCTCTGAGCTTGTATTTTCATTTCTTCCAATTTTCTCCTCTGATGGAGCCATTCTAGTTTGATATTTCCAACTTCTCTGTCTACCTCCAAACTTTCAGTCTCCAGAAGTCTCTGATGTGTTCTTAGTATGAGCAACCCCTCCACATAGCTCATACCTGGTTCTCAGCTCATTCATCCATGGACTGAATCTGCGTGGGTAACCCCAGCCATCTGACAGTAACTCCATTGCAGACAGGCCATGCTTTTGGCTCCACCAGTACTCACAAGTGTGCTGGTTATCTCTCCCCACTACCAAATGATTCCTTTCCTTAATTAACCAGTCACCATTAGTGCTGCCTTGAGCTTTGTGTTTCTCAGGCTAGAAACTTTAGCTATTTTAAACTATTCCCAGCATTTCATCCATTCCTTCTCACCAGGGCTGCTGTTTTGCTTGAAATGCTTTTTGCTGTTGCTCTTCGTCCTTTCCTGAGGAGGGCCACTTCCTGTTGTCTTCCTTCCTACACCCTAACAATCCCGGGGTCAATTCGCTTCTCTCCTTGCCATCCTGCCCCCTTAGTCTAAGCTTTGCATCATCCGAAGGCTGATTCCGATAAGCTGCCATTACTTTAATTGCTGATTTTCTCAGAAACTTAAATGATGCCCTGTGCCTGTCTTTTAAAAATTTTTTTAATTTTATTTTTTAAATTAATTTTATTGACAAAAATAGCAATGAGACAGTTTCAAAACTGATTAGTAGGATGGTTTTGATAATTAATACAGTGCATATTGTTGTATTCATAGTGGTTATTCATAGTACAAGATGCAGATGTGATACCCTGTCCAAACACTATCAGTACAAATCTTTCTTCTCATTGAATTAAGAGAAAATACCTGTATATTTATCCAATTTTGTATACACAGATACAAAATGATCCTTCATTTATATCCCCTTTTTTTGTTTAGTTTTGTCAGAGATAAGTATTCCATTGCCATTTAAATATTGGAGGTATGTGAATTCAGCAAAGTTATCCAATATAGTCCAGCAGTTCATAATGGAAGTGGGTTATCCTTAGCACTGGCAATGTCAGAAGTTGTTGACTTACGCATTTTACAGCTCAGCATATTAATATGGCTTTACTTTATAACTTGTTTTTATACTTTTCTTCTGGATGGTTAGAACCAAGATAAAGCAAGACCTATATAACAAGAAATGTAACTTTTGTGTCGGATAAGTTCAATCAAGTCCCCTCAGGATTTATCCTGAAACCCTGTACTGCACTTTGCAGATCCTTTGTCAGTGTCAGCCATGTGGATGAGTCATGGCCATTGCTTGACCAATTTGGTCTCTGTGAAAGCCTGAGAGAATGTTTCCTCTCCATGTGACTCTCCTTAGGCACACTCTACATCATCAATCACTTTCCTCTTTGGCCACATAATCTCCTTGATCAGTAAATTTGGGCCACAACTGAGTTACAGGGTGTTACAATACAGGTTCTCCAATGTCCTGAGTCCTCATTGATCTTGAAAGGCTAGGGCCAAAATGTTGGCTGTCCTTGCAGTCCTTCTTTTTCTCTAATTTTTGGTCTGCAAACTTACGTTGTTAACCCTCCAGGAGGGAAGCTTAATGATATTATTGCTCTATAACATAGACTGTTGAGCTTAACCCCATATCTGTCTGAATATCAAATATCTCAAACATAACATGGAACAGGTATTTTCCATCAAGTATTGATATGTTAAACTATAAATCCCTACAGAATGTGGAGAAAAAAACTTCAAAAATACTTTTAAAATAGCAATAAAAAATACATATTTTTACACAGAAATTTAGAAATCTAACCATATACAGCATTGTAGCAGGACAGTCCTATGACATTTGTTTTTTCTTGTCTCTTGTTTTCATTCATTACCCATTTTTTAAACAAACATTTACTTGAGGGACAGTTTGGCAGCAATTGGTATGAAATGACAAGCAGTACATATTTAGAAGACCAGAATAACCGACATTCAAAGCATGACCCTAGTATTACACATTGCTATCTTCAGTGCAGTTGCTTATTTCATAGGTATCAGCATATATAGTTAGTCAGGGTGAGAATCCTACTAATTAACCACTACTTTCAAAAACCTGCTGAAGATTCTCAGGATCATTGCCTTACCCATCGTGTGCATGCAAATGTATGGCTTTGCCCCTGTGATGTTTCCTAGCTTTCATCCTTGCCCTCAGTTCACTGTCTAATCCTTAAGTTCTCACTTTCCTTTTAATTGTGTTATACATTTCCATTTTTATTTCTTCTTTTGAGTTCTTATACTAGGGAGACTATATGATATTTACACATGTGGATTTGGTTTATTTCACTTATGAGTGAAAGTGAAGTGGCATCCACTTAAATATAAATGCTTCAAGTTTATCATTCCTTATAACTGAGTAATACTCCATTGTATAAAAATACCACATCTTTTTCATCCATTCCTCAGGTGATGGGCATCTTGGTTGTTTCCAAGATTTGTCTATCACAGATTGAGCTGTTATAAACATAGGTGCAAATATGTAATGATGATATGATGTTTTCAGTTCCTCTGGGAAAATTCCCAGTAGAGGGATAGCTGATTTGAATGGGATTTCCAGTCCTAGTTTTTTAAGGAGTCTTCTCACTGATTTCCAGAATGGTTGAGCCATTCTACGCTCCCACCAGCAATGGAGAAGAGTTCTTTTTTCCCCACAGTCTCTCCAACATTTGTTGTTGGTTGATTTCTTTATGATAGCCATTCTTTCTGGGGTGAGATGATATCTCAGTGTTGTTTTAATTTGCATTGCATGGATGGCCAGTGATGTGGAGCATTTTTTCATATGTTTATTTGCTTCTATAATTTCATCCTCTGAGAAGTGTATGTTCATCTCAGATGCCCATTTCTGGAGTGGATCTTTAAATTTCTGGCCCTAATTTTTTAATTCATTTCAAATTCTGGAGAGCAGACCATTGTCTGAGTGCTTATTAGTTATAATATTTTCCAAATTTGTGGGTAGTCTTTTCATTTTGTTGGTAATTTCTTTTGACGTGCAAAAACTTTTCAATAAGAGGAGGCCCCTTGTTGATTCTTTCAAGTATTACCCCCACGATTTGATTTTTGTTCTTGAACTCTTTGCCTACCTCTATATCTTCAAGAGTTCCTCCTACTTTCTCTTCCAGAAGATTTAGTGTTTCCATTTTAATGTCTAGATCTTTAATACATCTTGACTTTAGTGCATGGTGATAGACCCGGGTCAAGTTTGAGTTTTCAGCATGTAGAGAGCCAGTTTTTCCAGCCCCATTTGTTAAAGAGGTTGTAAAAGGTATTGTTTTTCTAATTTCCTTCTCTGTGTTTCTTATCTGTATAGAGCAATGCTATTGACTTTTGGGTATAAATTTTGTATCCTGCTATGCTACTGAATTTGTGTATTAATTCTAGTAGCTTTTTCAGGGAGTGTTTTGGGTCTTCCAAGTAAAGTATTATGTCATCTTCAAATAATGATAATTTAACTTCGTTTTTACCTATTCTTATTCCTTTTATTTCTCTCTCTTGTCTAATGGCTGTAGCTAATGATTCCAGAACTATGTTGAATAGTAGTGGTGATAAAGGACATCCTTAACTTATACCAGATCTGATAGTAAAAGATTTCAGGTTTTCCCCATTTAGAATTATGTTAGCTGTTGGGTTGTCATAGATGGCTTTTATCAGATTGAAGTAGAGTCCATTTATTCCAATTTTCTGTAGGACTTTGAACATGAATGAGTGTTGGATTTTGTCAAAAGCCTTTTCTGTATCAATTGAGATGATCATGTAGTTTTTTGATTTGGCTCTCTTGATACAATGTATTACATTTATAGAGTGGGGTATATTGAACCATCCTTGCATCCTGGGATGAATCCTACCTAGTCATGGAGTATAATCTTCTTGATGATTTGCTATATTCTATTTGGTAGGATTTTATTCAGGATTTTGGCATCTATGTTCATGAGGGAGATTGGCCTGTAGTTCTCTTTTTTAGTTGTCTTTCCCTGGTTTTGGTATCAGTATAATACTTGCCTCCAGGAATGATTTGGGAGA